ATTTCCAATATCTTCTCGAATCTAATGTGCACCTATATTTTTTCAAACTTGGAAGCTGAAAAATGTTTTTGCTGCCGAATGTAATATGCATTTGTACAAGAAGATACTACTATACAACATTGTGCTACAATGAAAATGTTTATTGACATATACCATAGTAACATTTATACAATTTCAAATTTAGTGTTGCATGTTGTCTGTTCTTTCTTAAGCCCTCTCTCAATAATGAAATGTGCCTGTGTGAATTAGCCGGTATGAATTTGTCTGTTTGAATTTGCCAGAAAATTTCGAATTTTTCGAGTAAATACGGTATTTTAAAAATATTTTACCAGGAAGGATACTTTGAGATTCCACAAACATGGTATTGTCACATAGGGTACAACATAGCATTACGAAATGTTTTTAATGCTCTACCAATAGAAGTGTTTGGTTGGGAAAAGAAAAAAAATATTTTTGGGGGAAAGGTTATGTAGTGTGGATGCCTTAAAGTGTAAAGATTGTTGTAAATGCACAAGAGTCACCATATCTTATGCATAGCATGAATGAACTAAATGTTTCTCTTTAGACCTAATAAATAACCAGTTAGAAGGAAGATAAAATGGTTACATATGTATTTTTATTAAATCCTTCTTAATCTTATATTGACTGGATAAAGCAGAACTTGGAGACTCAGTGTCATTCTTAGTAAGTGTGATAATACCAAGTTAGTTGTCACTAACCAAGAACTTGGAGACCCCGGTTTCATTCCTAGTAAGTGTGATAATACCAAGTTAGTTGTCACTTCCCTACACCTTGGAGAGCCTGGTATCATTCCTAGTTAGTGTGATAATATCAAGTTAGTTGTCACTTCCCTACACCTTGGCGACCCCAGTTTAATTCATAGTAAACAATAATTACCAAAACAAGCACGCTAAATAAATCTGTAGATATAAAGAAAAACAAATAATAGTGTAGACAATCTGAATAGTCGTCAAAGAAATAAATTGGAGAAATATGAGGGAAAAAACTCACATGTCCCAGAGCTGGGTTTGCAAAGCTTCTTTGGAGAGGGGATATCCCCACACTGAAGATCGTTCCGAAGAATGTTGCCAATAGCAGTTCAATAATACTGTATGAAAAGAGAAGGGCAGGTCCTCCGAATGAATAATATCACAATAATTTATTCAATAACACAAGTTAAAAACCCTTACTTGGGATATGGTCGGTATAGACTCACAGAGTCACCCACATAAAAACATGTAAAAACGGCAAAAGATGTAAATTGCTTCCTGATTTCGTTCCGATCACATGATCCGCTTCCGGGACTGCCCCTCTGATGACGTACGTGTGACGCGATGCGCCTGCCTCCACAGGAAGCCTCACACGAACGTCATCAGAGGGGCGGACCCGGAAGCGGATCACGTGATCGGAACAAAATCACAATATCCTTCTGAAGATACGGTCTCCAGTACTGCGTACAATACTCCAGGTGAGGTCTCACCAGTGTTCTGTACAATGGCATGAGCACTTCCCTCTTTCTGCTGCTAATACCTCTCCCTATACATCCAAGCATTCTGCTAGCATTTCCTGCTGCTCTATGACAGTGTCTTCCTACATTTAAGTCATCTTTAAGTCATCTTAATCACCCCTAAAACCCTTTCCTCAGATGTTGAGGTTTGGATTCTATCAAATATCCTTTACTCTGCCCTTGGGTTTTTACGTCCAAGATGCATTATTTTGCACTTATCCACATTAAATGTCAGTTGCCACAATTCTGACCATTTCTCTAGTTTATCTAAATCATTTGCTATTTGGCTTATCCCTCCTGGAACATCAACCCTGTTACATATCTTAGTATCATCAGCAAAAATACATTCCTTACCATCAAGACCTTCTGCAATATCTCTAATAAAAATATTAAAGAAAATGGGTCCAAGTACAGCTCCCTGAGGTACCCCACTGGTGACAAGTCCAAGCTTCGAATATATTCCATTGACTACAACCCTCTGTTGCCTGTCACTCAGCCACTGCCTTACCCATTCAACAATACTGGAA